CCTTTCATTGAATATGCCAATATGCAATTTTCAGAAAGGGGTAAGCGGACAATCAGAAGGTTCCCATTCAGTACACACAATGGGGAAAGTTAGGCGGCGGTGGTGGAATTACAACACATCCCCGGGGTGATTATTTGGTGACGTTACCACCGGGTCACCACCATTATTCTTTCTCTCTATTTCTTATTCGGACTTAGTGACCACTTTTCTGAAATGTACCTGACTAGGTTAAAAAATGGTCATAAACCATTGGTGAAAACTTCGGGCTACTCAAGGGTGCAGTCCTTTCACCTTAATTATTTTCCAGGTATATCGGTGAGATATCTGCTAGCACTCTTATTTCTTCCATCAAATAGGCGTAGGATGTTGTTTTATATCAGACTATATGGAAGTCTTTCGATCTTTAAAAAAATAACTGTGATAGCTTTCAATAAGTTACCGCTATTATAGTTATCTGTGTCTCTGTTAATCTCTTTAAATTCTTAGATTCGGCAGTGGTTAGGTCTGTACACTTATCCGGGATAGGCCGTGTCAAATACCTAGGAGTTTTTTTATCGATGTTGCTCTTCATTGGATCTCTCACATTCAGTATATCATCCTGAAACTTCAGTGACTTTCGTCCGATGCCCGCGTGCCTTTTCATTTCAGAATTCGGCCCTCTACTACCTCCAACTTTGATTGCCCGCCAGTTTTCCCAGTTTTTCCCAGTTTTAAGTTTCCTTATGAAAGACTTTCAGTTGCTTCGAAATGGGCTAACCAACTCGAGCCGAATCTTCAATCGAACTGGAGGAGTTGATAATCGATATTTGCGAACTTCATTTGTCTTCGCGTGAAACGTTTGCACAAAGGATTCTTACGGATCTCGATCATCCATTGCATACAGATTTAGTTTTCTGACTTTCCCATCTGTTTACTAGATCACAATAACATTGTGATCCTCCACGCATAAAGATGTGTATATTAGAATTGTACGGTACCCTGTTCATCATGTATTTTGGTGAGCAAAATAAAACAGATTTTTGCAGACCTTCTCAAACATTTTGCCTCTAATGTGCAAATTTGTGACTAGGATGTTCAAACTAAGCTCACAAAAATTAATTACAGTTACTATTGTATTCTTTACTTCCGTTCATTCTATCCAGTTTAATGTGTCAGGGTTTCCCTCTTCATTTCAATCTAGGCTCGTTTTATGCGAAGCAAAGCAATCGGCAACAATCTACTGTGCCAAATCTGGCTCGAAAAAGTTTCAATCACGTTAGGTCTCATTATGAGCGTGCATTGAAATCAGGAGATAACATCTAGTAAATAGATGTTTAATTAAACTGAATTGATGAATCTTATTGGAAAAATTGAATCAATTTTGGCCAGTGCACAAAGTTTACACTGCTACCCACGTTTTACCGGGCTGTCCAGTAAGTGCTAGAGGAATATTGTTGTCTTCAAAATTTTCAAACGAGCGTACTCGGAATGAGGATGCTGAAAAACTTCCGATTTCTTTCACAACCATTGTCATAACTAGGCAATAAGATAAATAGTAGTAAACAAATTGATATTTAAAAAACTTCTCAGTATTGCAGGTATGCAAACGCCGAGATCGGAAACAACAACAAAACTAGATAAGAACTAGAACAAGTGCCACAAAATTTACCTAAAAAAGGGTTTGGGTTCCGAAGGATCTTTCAGTGGCAAAACCAAGAGCTTAGGCTTGCCAGGCAGCCTAATCGGAAAGAGTGTTATCTTCCAGTCCACAGAAGTGCTAAAACTANGTTTAACCTCCAACTCAAGTACAAATAAAGAGACAGTGATTAAATGCGTGTGTTCTGACGTTCTGCGTCCAAAATTATCCCCTCGAACTTTCCAAACAGAACTGATGGCTCTCCAATATGACTATCATTTGCTAAGCATAGATTTCTTCACCTTCCTCTCCGATTCGAAACTTTGATTGTGTGCAGTTTTCTTTTGGTTTTCCTATTTATCTCTTTGTCAATTTGTAAGAAATCATTACCAAAGCTGTTGTACGCATTTGTGCAAGGGCACAATGATATGGATAGCGATACACTATAGCAATCAATCCTTTATAAATGAAAAAAACATTGCCTTTTCATTTTGATGTACACTGCTTGCAACTATACTGCGCAGTGACCAACGGCAGACATAAGTGGTGTCTGAAATTCAGAACAAACAGTTTTATTGAAACAACTGTCTTATAATTATCTATTTTCAAAGCGCTCATATATCGAATAGTTAACACCAGAAAATAGATCACATAGATCAACACGGAAAACACTAATCTGGGCTAGTGGGTTTGTTACAGTAAACTACAGTTTCTGTCATTTGCTTGCTCTAACTAGTTAACTGGTCTTGGGGGTGTTGCCCGGATGTGGATTTACTCGTTTTTGATCGATATTGGGTCATGGAAGCTTGTGTGGCTGAAGCAAACGCTTCTGGGGGGGGGGGGAGGAGGGGCAAAGATCAGAAGTGAAATTCATTAAATGAATCATTTCAGCTATTGCTAGAATGGACAACTGGGCGTAGTCGAATTTGCCTGGGCAGGGGGCAGGGGCGCACGATAATGAACTGTGTAAGCCACGTCCAATTGCAGTTTAGGCTGCTGATGACTGACTGCACTGTTGATTTATTCGGTCCGACCTATTCCTAACCAGTGTTAGTGATGTCTATTCTGGGTCAACATTAACCGGGTTGTACCGAGTTTCTAAAATTCGTAAACCGGGAACGTCAAACCTGCCTGCGCTACCGTTGAGGAGTTCCTCTCACCGCACTGTTACTGACTAGTCATCCTGACTATTTGAACCAAGTAGAACATGGCGACACAGACCAGATTGAGTGTACACAGTATTGTGAGGACTATCGTTCATAGGTTGAAAACATAGGTAACTTCTTTGATTATTTTATTGACTTTCATCCTACCTTGTCAAATGTCACGTTTACTAAAAATAAATTTCATTCTATCTAATCAGATCATGTTAGAACAATACCTAGTCATGTCATACTTGTTTGAAAAATCGTAATTTTCCTCAAATAAACCTACCCCAGAGGTTCCCATTAGAGACTTCAAACTAAGCTCCACCTTGAGTTGTTCCGCCCCGAAACACGCTTTTAGCAACAAACCTTGTGAAGTGCAACCGAACGAGTCATTAGTGAGCAATTGCACAGGACAAGTACGTTGAATTGTGTCCAACTGAACCACACGAATGTTCTTTGCGGTCACATACGAAACGTTGTACTCGCCCGGCAAATCAATTTGGGACTGCGGTACCAAGAGGCTTAGGAGCAGTGTGTCAATCAGCTGATCCAAAGCACCTGTACTCAAATCCAACGGTGGATTAGATATTTTACATACCAGTTGTCCTTTACCTGGATGGGAGTAAAATTGTATGGGAAAATAGTAGAAAAACAGGGGAGCGAATTCGGATTGAGAAACGCTTCATGCATAATTCCATAAAGACAATAGAGAAGTAGGAGTTTTGTTGATAGACAAACTGTGACAGAAAAACACCATCAATAAACATTGAATAAATAGGACTACTTATAGCTCCATCCGGATGAACACAATTCAAAGAATAATGGCAAACCCTCTCGACTGGCAAACTCTAAGATTTAGGATAAAACCAGAAATCCTCACTAGTTTCTTTCGAGCAGACTCTGATAATACTTTCTTTCAACGGAAAACAAAGTTCAGCGTGAAGTGCGAGATGAAACGGAGATGTTTTGATGGTCGCTTCGCATCAAACATATCAAGTAATAAAATTGTGATAACCTTCGAACCGCCTCAGTGACTTCCCACCTCTTACTTTCATTAGCTGAAATTGCCCACTGTCTTGGTTAACCGCTGATTTTCTGGATCGCCGCAACATTTAATGTATCCATGTAGCCTGGCTAGACGTGTACGTTTCTAGTCCGCCCAAATAATAGGAAGCCTGCAGTTTCACAATGTTTTCATTCAGAGCCTTTGTGACAAATTTTCTGAATAAATCAAAAGAAAAGTGATGAAAAGTTGCAAAGACAGGGACGGAATGAGAAAATAACTCCTCTAGTGGTGTGCTCCACTGGTTGGGTAGATGTATAATCGATAGTTGTTGTAAACAAAACATTTTGAATAATAACAAAATTGATTTTGTTTTGCAGTAATGTGTTCCAACGCCGTGACGTCCATGGTGAGATTTGGTCCAAAATCAGTGGATCGCATTGAGAAAACAATATTTAGCTATTCACTGACTTTCAGTGGTTGAAATTTGTGAAAATTTGGATAGCAAATTAAAACTCGCTCATTTAGGCTAACTTAACATTTTGGATGTAACATCCAGACGGAAGAGGATTGAGCGATGTTGATAAGAAGGTGAAACTTGGAGAAAACATTTTTTCATGTTCTTTATACGAATTTGCATCCCCTCCCCCAAACGTCCGTGTTACTATTTCGCGTGGGTTACACGCCTTAGAGATCGCTTTTTAATCAAGTGGTAGTGCGTTCGACTTCTGTGGTGGAGGTGAAAGTGATGTACACCGGATGGTTCTTCCAATCCGTTCGGTATTAGTCAGTATTGCATAAAATTTCGGGTTAATATCGAGTTCCAGTGTTATATATTGATTTCTAATCGTAAACGGGTAGTACTGGAAAATTAAACTTAACTTTAGTACTCGGATTAAGGTTATAAATTTAATTGATTCATGATTGATGAAATGCAATGCTGCCACAGATGTACCAGTATAAAAGAATAAAAGAATAAAACAACTACTTGTAATGGGTTCATAAAAATACGGGTTTGAATAACTAAGGGGGAACGCAGGCGCCAAAAAGCCTGTTTTTCTTTACCTCATAAAAAAGGTTGTAAAAGCAACGAATAAGTGGAATGGCCTGATACAATGAGTAGAAGTGGTTGATTGCAATGTTGTCATATGTGGTTTGGAAATGAAGAGACAGTGTTTTCTGCTGCTGCTGCTGCTTTGTGGTTTGGAAGTGTTCACAATCGATGAATAGATTGAGGTGTTCCATCTGCGATCTGTGTCCCTGCGTCGTGCCAACGGTCAAGATTGTTTCGGCCGGCTATGGAAATTTCAGAGTAACCGACGTAACTGACAAGAACTGAATTGGGTTTACGGCTGATCAATGCCTCAGTTGTTGGAAGATACTTTTGACGAAAAACATTTTGATGGATGCGTTGGTATTTTTTAGATCACTCTGAGGGCTTCCCCATTTGCCTGATAGCCCGTATCTGCAAGTTATTCCACCACTTCATTTGCAACCGTTTTCTTTGTGCTCGCACTCAACCAGGCTAGCTTGTCCTCGTTGATTCTTTGCGACAATTTTATGAGCGTTCTTCCTACATAACTTGCCGAACATGAGCAGAGAAACCAGTAAACAATCATCAATGGGCAGAGAATCAACAATGTATCTTTCAGCTTTACGGTAACGAGCCGTAGGCTTATGAATTAGGTATGTTGCGTCGATTTAGGAATAGTACACGCAAATGCCCGTTTTTACCTCACGTATTAGTAACTCATACTTATTGTCTTATGAAGAACTTTATTCCATTCACTGTTTTCAACAGTTACCACATAGGCCGCTTTTTCAGATGATTTCTACACCATGGATGAGATGTGATACATCATAGTGTATGGTCTACTTCAAATTGACCTGAATCAAGTTGATGGTAAGGTCATTATCATAAGATCTGGAAAAACTCGAGATTATTCTTCAAGCCTATAATCCATCAGTTCCACACCCCTTAACCAAACCCTTAAAAAGCAGCATACGCGAGTACACATAAGAGGCTGTGGCACACTTTCATGGAACTTTTCAGTAGGTAATATTTTCGCAATTACTCAGAATGTGCATTAATCACCTTTATGAAGGCTTGATTGCGAATNTTGCGAATCGGCACCGTTAGTTGTGGAACACATGAATGTTCACAGTCAGTTCTGACAAGACATTGATACTGATGTTGGAAGTACTTTCTGTTTTTTGAGGGTTGATTTGCACAAATATGCTCGTACCTTAGCTCGCTCTGATACACGTAGGACCTTTTGCGCTGTTGTGAACGTGGCTGTCACAAACATCTGACATTATTTTACGATGAACTGGTGTAAAGATTTTGCACTTCCTTCCGTGTTGTTCTTTCATTTACACTCCATGGTTTGACCCCAAATAGGAAAATCATTGTTTAATAAATGAGTCAGATGATCAGTTATATATTGACTCAGATGAGTTCGTCTTGGTGGGCGGGAAATCATACAAATAGATACACATACATGCTCTTACGTAAGACATGAATCTATATGTAGCATTTTACAGTAACTAATATTTGAATGAATGCACAATATTTCCCTGGAAGCACACGACCGGTTTTGCGGTTGTTACCGCTCGTCAGGCATGCCCATGCGGAGCCGTATGCCTTGCGAGTGGCAACCATTGCGAAATCGGTCGTTTGCTTTCAGAGACATTTTGTGCAACCATTCATATTACACTTGTTGTTATAATATAGATATATAGATATTAGCAACCCTTTGCCCTTTTTGCAAAGCGATTTACACTTTCACTTTATCATATATCGTATGTGAATGACTAGACAAAATTTCCTTGGAAGCACAGGACCGGTTTCGCGGTTCTTGCCGCCCGTCAGGCATGCGTATCCGGTAATCTTTTGTCAGTTCATTCATATACTTGTATCCAGGAAGTACATTTTCGACACAATAACCTTGATCACATCACCGGGTGACGTTTGGATAGACACCTCTTTCAGAGCCAGTCCATGGAAGAATCAATGCTATGATTCAATGTTTTTGTAAGTGGGTTAGGTGCTACTAACCGCCACAAATGTGACTTCATAGTAGCATCTAACCCATTTACAAAAACATTGAATCATAGCATTGATTCTTCCATGGACTGGCTCTGAAAGAGGTGTCTATCCAAACGTCACCCGGTGATGTAAACAAGGTTATTGTGTCGAAAACACTTTCTCTTTACATTCACTCCGCATTTTCCGGACAGAGAAAAAATACAGCTTTCAAGTTCATCTATAGCGATGCACACCGTCTAACAAAAGGGACAAGACAGACTCCTGTCCACAACCGAAGCGATCGTTATCACGTCTAACAGAGCAAATAAGATGTTTGCAGAACCAGTGAGTAAAGACCTTATTCCCACCGTGGGCCGAGGTCATTGTGATAAGAGATCGAATACGTCAGTTCGACACAATCATGGCTGGTCTGTTCCGCCTCGGTTCCCAGCATCATCCGTCGTAATATGCATACTATCACTTATAGTATCAATTAACACGGTGTGTTTACCCTTCATTCTCGCTAATCACAGTGTATCATCCCGCGATGAACCTAATCAGGTAGTTAAATTATAACTCAGTGACACTTTTGCCAGTCAGCGTCGTCTATATCGATCGGTTTCAGTTAGCCCCAAACAACAACAAAGGAAACGGTCTTATTTCAAAAGAATGAAATTGACCGTTTAGCTTTAATTAGGGAGGTAGGTAAACGACGTTGCCGCTTGTAGATCACAATACCGCACCGAAAATTAGGTTAATTGTTCAGGCAAGTCTTATTTATGTCTTAACTGTGCGCAAGCAGAGACAGAGTTTAGCCACAAGGATGACTTTAGCTTCAATGTAAGACAGTCTTGGATTTTGAGCTAAATTATCTCTTTTGAATTCAACCATCTAGTAAACCTGTTTGTTTTTTACTGTAAGACCCAGGGGCTGGAAGTCCAGCATAAGACAGGAGGATGACACTATCAAGGGGCGTCTCCGATCCGCAACCTGTTGATTTATTCATGGTCAAGGTAAATGATAATACCTTATTCCTAACTATTTTACGATAGAATATGAAGAGTAGATATATGGGAAACATTTTCTGGCTGGTACGCTCAGACAGAAGTGGGGAGATTACAACGACGTCTAATAAGTCATAAAAGAATCCTTAATTTATCATGAAGTTACAATCTACTGTTTTACTCCTATTACTGACCATGCAAAGAAGCAAATCACAATTTTACTAGTAACGGGCAATAAGAAAGTTTTCAAATTTTTTCCGATGCAAAACGTGTAATTCAGTGTATCGATTGGTCCATAAAAGTCGTAAGATCTGCTCCCTCAATAGGCTTCTCAAAGAACCCACCTGACTGGCAACACCTTAAGAGAAAACGACTGACCCGAAAGCTTCATCCAAAGACACTTTGATGGAATTCTAGCAAGTATATTTCATCCTCTCTGACAAACAGGTAATGCAGCAGTTAATTTAAGATGATAAACTGTAACGGAATTTTTTACTGGCTAGTTATCCTACACCAGGGCGAACATCTTTTGTTGGACACCAAACTTAATTTTTCATCTGATCTGAACTTTATGC